TTGCCAGCGCACGAATGTTCTCATTTATATTTACATGTCTACTTCCACGCTTCCCGTAAGACAGAAACTTGATGCCCTTACAAACGATATCACTATCCCACTCTAACCCTTACCGTAACCCTAGCCCTTATCCTACCCCTGACCCTTACCCTAACCCTAACAGAAATTCATTGAGTAAGCATGTAAATATAAATAAGAACATTCGTGCGCTACCAATGAATTTCATTATCCCTGCAATCGTACTGGCCCGATGATGAATTACTGGAAACATACGTTTGCCGAATACACTTCCCAAACTTTCATCAAAGTTATAAGTTCTTGGTGTGACGTTTACTTGGCAATTTGACACGTTGTTATGGGAACCGTTGATAAATTGCATCCTTCCCTTGCGCCAAACTACTCTGCCTAAGCAGTCCCAGCACATACTGTGGAGCCGGGAGGTCACTACAGCCGTTCGCGACTCATGCGGTTGTCAGCCATTGCAAGAATGCTGGCTTTTTGGAACTTAAAGGTGTGGCCGGGTCTCGTCGAATGAGGCTCGAGCTGAGGTCTAACTTCTTTCCTCCTTCCTGCTGTTCGGTCATGCGCATGCGCAGTCATCTCTCAGTTTCTCCCACGAATTTGCTTTGCTCTCAACTGCGCTAGCTATTGCAAACAACCACGAGGTTTCCTGACGTGACAATGAGTCGTTCGGCCTCGGTGTTTAGCGCCTGATGGATACTGCTAGTCGGTGTGCAACTGCAATTCCGAATGCTGTAAGAGGGTAGAGGTCGCATCTTCCTGCTCATCTGAATTGCTTCCTACAACCTGACCCTTTGATTACATTGGCAATAAGTAAACAGCCTAGCCCATAATAACCATCCATCTTTTGATGTGACGCACGGCCGGAAGTTCATAAAAGAATCCATAGGAGACCTAAGCAAAAGTTACGGCTAATAACATTAATTTTTTTGTTGAAAATACGCGTGAAAGGAGCAAGTCGGCATATGGGACATCAAACCTTCCTTATGGGTTTATGGATATACAGGCAAGAGCACACCTCTGTTTCGAAACTATTCATTACAGAGAATGGGTTTGACTTCAGAAGCTAACTTGACTAACTCGCCTCGTAGACGTTCGAGGTTAGGCAAAACAGCAGAGCAGATAGCAAGGTCGACTATAATCAAGCAATAAATGTTAGCTGGCGAAATGAGGAAGCATCACATTAGACAGCTGCTTGATTCAGTGCTTGAGAAGAAGCGCTTATGATTTGAATAAATGAACCAAACACGGCAACATACCGTCGGTTTTGGACGACAATTCTGGGATTTCATGACATTTTTGACGGCCAGGTTGCTACCGCTTGGGTTACGTACTTACTTTAGACTCATAAACCTCCCATATATTTCCAGTTGGAGTTTAAGATAGTCAGAATATCAAGGAAACAACAGTGAGTGAAACTAATGAACTAAAGCTTACCCTATCAACAGAATCAACTTCCATTAATATTTCAGAGGCAACTTGTTCAAAGAAGGCGGCCTGTTCTTCCAACTGCTGACGGTTAAAGGTGTCATACGTAGGCAGTAGAGAAGCATGATGTCTGTTCAGCGCAGCGCCAATGAGAGCCGAAGCTACCGGGCTGGGACTGACCTTGAGTAACGCTATGGCCATTTCGTGGGAGTTTGTGAGAACAGACCAAATAAAAAGATGCTAAAATGGAACCACGAAGATAAATACTTAGGGTAGACTTTTCAAGTTTGAAAAAGTCATCAACATTTAAATGAAGGATTTACTTCAAATGTTGCATAGGAATTAAACCAACATGGTAAAGTGGGACAGTTTGGGAAATTATGGTGTGATACAAAACATAGAACTGAGAAATTTACAACATCGGAAACTTGTCATCCTCGGTGATGGGTCCGACTTCTGCCTTTTCACAATTTTGTGGGGCACTCTACTGGTAACTATCAGAACCTGCCCGCCTCCTCAGCGAATAACCAATATTCCCTGTGACTGCCTAACACGGAGAGACTAAGGTTATTATAATCGATATTTCTGCTGGAACTTCACTACTAGCCCTGTCATCAGTCAGAGTTAAGTAAGATTTTCAGTGTGCAAATGCAAGTAACATTGTGATTTAAATCGGCAAAAAAATTAGATTGCTCAGGCACGCCCAGTTGGGCTTTTATCTGCGTTACGTTGTCGTTAATTATAGCCCCCTGGCCCCGAATTTATGCTGACATATTGTATATTTCCAAGCAAAACTCGTAATACGTAAGGAGGAAATATTAGTGTTCTCTGTTCTCTTCGGACACTAGACAACGATTAGAAAAGAATTGCCACTACAAATGTGAGTCTGATACTCGACTCGTCTCCTTTACCTTACTTCATAACTATTGATGCTAAACTAAGCCATAGATATATACAGAAAGGTGCAATATATCATCCCTAATTGTAATTGCTAAAACATTGGGTAGTACGGGGAATGTTTTCTATTTTCGACGGCGAGAGCAATCATAGTACACACTGCCTTGCACGCTCAAAAGAGAAAGTGTTCAAAATAAACTTCTGTATTTGTTCTTAGAGGGCACAGAATTCCTAAGGGACATTAGTGTTATCGGGCTAAAAAAGATCCACAAAAAATTAACTCTGACTTACCACAAGGGGATTTGGCACAGTTTGACTTTTATCATTCTGATCCAGAACATCCTAAATAAAAAAGAATGCTAGGCGAATTACGACGAATACTCATGTGGTTGTTCAAAAAGAACGGATGTCTCCAGCTTACACGGATACAAAGTATGAATAAATTAATAAAATTATATACTAGCCTTAAGTGAAACGGTTTAGGCAGACTCCTACGTAGTGCTTACATGTTTTTATCCCTTCGGTGCATATTTAGTGCACAAAAGGCCGGCGATGATAAACATCGTCATACTGTTGACACAAAGATCATGTTACAACGCGCGTGTACGTAGAGTTTCTAGTAGTTTGACTTTAACTCATCGATTAGTCGGTTGCACAAGGTCGGATTAACGTATACGAGTCCAAACCTGTCATTGTGGATGCAAATTATGCAAAATGAGAAACAATACACCAGACAAGAAGCCGTCTGTAGCAATCCCAATGACCAATTAAAACGCGAATACTCTATATATTTGCGAAATGAAGTTCAATACACAGTTGAGCGCATTCCAATCAGGCTCTGAAGGAATTCATCTGACTACAAACACCATTTCTGCGATTAAGACAAGCAGTGTGATTGCCTTCTCCAGGTCAATAGCAGACTTTTTATATTGCATGCGCATCGATCTAT